AAGAGGGTGTTTGCTATGACTAGTGCATTCTCTTGGCAGAAGTCTATTAGGCTTTGCCATGCTTCATTCTGTACTCCAAGACCAAATTTGCCTGTTACTCCAGGTGTTTCTTGACTTCCTACTTTTTTATTCCAGCCCCTGTAATGAAAAGGACATCTTTTTTGGGGTGTTAGTTCTAAAAGGTCTTGTAGGTCTTCATAGAACCATTCAACTTTAGCTTCTTCAGCGTTACTGGTTGGGGCATAGATTTGGATCACTGTGATATTAAATAAACATAGTGACAATATATAGCTTTGTCATACTCCTTTCCCAGTTTTGAACCAGTCCATTGTTCCATGCTTATTTAACTTATATGCAGAGTACATCAAGAGAAATGTTGGGCTGGAAGATGCACAAGCTGGAATCAATATTGCCAGGAGAAATATCAGTAACCTCAGATATGCAGATGACACCACCCTTATTGAAGAAAGTGAAGAAGAACTAAAGAGCCTCTTGATGAAAGTGAAAGAGGAGAGTGAAAAAGTTGGCTTAAAGCTCAACATTCAGAAAACTAAGATCAATCAACTCAGATTGGATCCCATCACTTCATGGCAAATAGATGGGGAAACAATGGAAACAGTGGCTGACTTTATTTTTCTGGGCTCCAAAATCACTGCAGATGGTGATTGCAGCCATGAAATTAAAAGACGCTTATTCCTTGGAAGGAAAGTTATGACCAACCTGGAGAGCACATTAAAAAGCAGAGACATTACTTTGTCCACAAAGGTCCATCTAGTCAAAGCTATGGTTTTTCCAGTGGTCATGCATGGATGTGAGTGTTGAACTATAAAGAAAGTTGAGCGCTGAAAAATTGATGCTTTTGAACTGTGGTGTTGAAGAAGACTCTTGAGAGTCCCTTGGACTGCAAGGAGATCCAACCAGTCCATCCTAAAGGAGATGAGTCCTGCATGTTCATTGGAAGGACTGTTGTTGAAGCTGAAACTCCAATACTTTGGTCACCTCATGCGAAAAGCTGACTCATTGGGAAAGACCCTGATTCTGGGAAAGATTGAGGGCAGGAGGAGAAGGGGACAACAGAAGATGAGATGGTTGGATGGCATCACCGACACAATGGATGTGGGTTTGGGTGGACTCCGGGAGTTGGTGACGTATAGGGAGGCCTGGTGTGCTGCAGTTCATTGGGTTGCAAAGTGTTGGACACAACTGAGCAACTGAACTGAACTGAACTGAATTGTTACATGTCCAGTTTTGTTTCTTCTTGACCTGCTTACAGGTTTCTCAGGAGACAGGTATGATGGTCTGGTATTCCTATCTCTTTCAGAATTTTCCACAGTTTATTGTGATCCACAGAGTCAAAGCCTTTCAACATAGTGTATGAAACAGATATTTTCCCTGTTATTCCCTTGCTTTCTCTATGACCCAATCTATGTTGGCAATTTGATCTCTGGTTCCTCTGCCTTTCCTAAACCCAGTTTGTATAGTTGGAAGTTCCCAATTCACATACTGTTGAAATCTTGTGTGAAGGATTTTGCTGCTGCTGCTGCCAAGTCACTTCAGTCATGTCTGACTCTGTGCGACCCCACAGACAGCAGCTCATCAGGCTCCCCCATACCTGGGATTCTCCAGGCAAGGACACTAGAGTGGGTTGCCATTTGCTTCTCCAATGCATGAAAGTGAAAAGTGAAAGTGAAGTCGCTGAGTCATGTCCTACTCTTCATGTCCCCATGGACTGCAGCCTACCAGGCTCTTCCGTCCATGGGATTTTCATTATAACCTTATTAGCATGTAAAATGAGTGCAATTATATGATAGTTTGAACATTCTTTGGGATTAGAATGAAAACTTATTTTCAATCCTGTGGCCACTGCTGAATTTTGCAAATTTGCTGGCATATTACATGAAGAGTATCATCTTTTAGGATTTGAAATAACTAAGCTAGAATTCCATTAACTCCACTAACTTTGTTCATAGTGATGCTTCCTAAGGTCCACTTGACTTCACACTCCAGGATGTCTAGCTCAAGATGAGTGACCACACCATCTTGGCTATCCAGGTCATTAAGATCTTTCTGGCACAGTTTTTCTGTGTATTCTTGCTACCTCTTCCTAATCTTGCTGCTTCTCTTAGGTCCTTAACATTTTTGTCCTTTATCATTTAATCCCACCTGGATTGAGATACACTTGGAAGTATAATATAGTTGAGGATGCCATTGTTCAGATTTTTGTCCTTATGCTTCAATTATCATTATGTAACTTCACTTTCTATGTCCAATGTAGCTGCAGTTGAAATCACAAAAACAAGGCAATGGATTCTAAAAGCCAGAGCTTTTAAATCTAAAATATTACTCTCATTTTTCCATTATTAAAGACTGTGATTCAGGGCTATTTCCATACAAAATGGATAGTGAGGGATGATGAATTCATGCCACACATTCCAACAACTGCTCATCTGGGACCCACACAGCAGTGAGGATACTGTTTTTGCTACAGAGATTCTTTCTCAGACCCTTACAACCAAGGATTCCAAGTAGCCCAAAAGATAAAACTTAAAACCTAATCTGTACAAAAAGCTTAATAGTGAACCTGGTTCTCTCCATCCAGCTATAGGACACTACCTGAAAAGTTCAGAAGGTCATCTCGCTACAGTTATGTAGATCTCAACCCATTCAAAGAAAGATAAAAAGATAAAATATCTCAATGAAGACCTACAGTAAACAAACAAACAAGTAAACTACTCAAAAGCAATCTACAGATTAAATGCAATCCCTATCAAATTACCTTTGGCATTTTTCACAGAATTAGAACAAAGAAATCTATATTTTGTATGGAAACACAAAATACCATGAATAGCCAATGTAATCTTGAGAAAAACAAAGAAGAAAAATGAAGCTAGAAAGAATCACATGCCCTGTCTTCAGACTATATCACAAAGCTACAGTAATTGAAACAGTATGCTACTGGCACCAAAGACAGAAATATAGATCAATGGAACAGAGCAGGAAGTCCAGAGAAAAACCCACGCACCTGTGTCACCTATGGCAAAGGAAGCAAGAATACACAATGGAGAAAAAACAGTTTCTTTAATAATTGTTGCTGGGAAAACTGGACAACTACATGTAAAAGAATAAAATCAGAACACTCCCTAAGACCATAAACAAAAGTAAACTCAAATAGATTACAGACATGAATGTAAGACCAAACACTAGAAAACTCTTAGATGAAAACATAGGGAGAATTCTCTCTGACATAAAATGCAGCAAGCTTTTTTACCCACCTCCTAGAGCAATGAAAATAAGTAAAACACACACACAAAACAAGGCCCAATTAAGCTTAAAAACTTTTGCACAGCAAAAAAACACACAAAAACAAAAAACCATAAAAAATACCAAAGACAACCTGTAGAATGGGGGGAAATATTTGCAAATGAAGAGACTGACTGACAAGGGATTACTCTTCAAAATATACAAACAGTTCATGCAGTTCAATATCAAAAATAAATAAATAAGTAAACAGCCCAATCAAAAAATGGGCAGAAGATTAAAACAGACATTCTCTAAAGAAGACATACAGATGGCCAAAAAGCACATGAAAAGATGGTGAGCATCTCTAATTACTAGAAAAATACATATCAAAACTACAGTGAAATTAAAACAACAACAACAACAACAACAACAAAACCACAGTGAGGTTTAACCTCACATAAGTCAGAATGACCATCATCAAAAAGTCTACAGACAATAAGTACTAAAGAGGGTGTAGAGAAAAGGGAACCTTCCTACACTGTTGGTGGGAATGTAAACTGGTACAGCTACTATGGAAAACAATATGGAGGTTCCTTTAAAAACTAAAAATAGAGCTACCATAAGATCCATAAATCTAACTCCAGGGCATATATCCAGAGAAAACCATAATTTATAAGGATACATGAACCCTAACGTTCACTGCAAGACTATTTACAACAGCCAGGACATGGAAGCAACCTAAATGTCTGTCAACAGAGCAATGGACAAGAAAGATGCAGTACCATATATACAATGGAATGTTACCCAGCCATAAAAATGGGCAAAATAATACCATTTGCAGCAACATGGCTGGACCTAGAGATTTGCATACTGAGTGAAGTAAGTCTGAGAAAAACAGAATATGATATTGCTTACATATGGAATATAACAAAAGGCTACAAATGAACTTATCTACAAAACAGAAGTAGAGTAACAGGTGTAGAAAATAAACTTATGTTTATTAGGGGATAAGAGAGGGGAGGGATAAATTGGAAGACTGGGACTGACACATACATACTACTATATATAAAATACTAAAATAGATAATTAATAAGAAACTACTGTAAAGTACAGATAACTCTGTAATGATCTATATGGGAAAAGAATCTAAAAAAGAGTGGATATATGTATATGTATAGCAGATTGACTTTGCTGTACATCGGAAACTAGGATAACAGTGTAAATGAATTATAACCCAGTAAAACTTGAAATAAAAATTGAAGAACGGCCTGAGCGAGCTAAAGCAGGGGCCCAAGGCACCACAGGTCTGCTGGAGCACGCAGGTTCATACCCGATTTTTTCTCCTAAAGATTCCAAAAGTGAAAAGCAGAAATTCTTTTCTAAAGGACTATTCATTTGAAGTATTAATCAAAATGCAAATTACTAAAAAAATACAGGCACCCCAATGTTTATGGGATATGGAAAAAGAATCTTTAAAAAAGTGGATATATGTGTAACAGATTCTCTTGGCTATATACCTGAAGCCAACACAACATCATAAGTCAACCATATGCCAATCAAAAAAAAATTTTTAATGATCTCAACAAGGACCTACCGTAAATAAATAAGTGAAAAAAAAGATAAAAGTTCTCATCAAGACACAAATGACTTCACATGGACACACTGTGGAGTCACATGCTGCAGATACTTTAATACAACCCATTAGAAACTAAGAGTATATATTAGACAAGACGACAACAGTTTAATAACTACAAACAAAGCTATAAAATGTAAATATACCACAAACATTCACATTTATACTTACATTCTACCAGAAGCAGGGCCCCAAAGGAAACAATAGTGACAAAGATGGCACAGATGACATCCAGATACACAGAGAGCCACTGGGACGTTGTCAAAAGCAGGAACCAAGCCTCTGCATTTGTGAACCATAATAAGTATAATACATAAACAGGAAAAACCATGTTAGCTGCCTCTCATGAGGGAGAACATTTTCTCAGTTGAGCTACAAAAGATTTTACACAAGGTAGGAGAGCAAAGTTACATACCTGTAACTTCAAAGGAACGTGAAGATTCCAGTAAACTAGGTTCAACACAAAACAACATATGGGACACACAGGAATCAGTCCAAGAAGGATGCTTTGAGAACTTCAACCCACGGGTTATCAAGAGAAATATCATCACGAGAAAGAAGATGGGAAAACATCTCATTGGTGTGTTCCCTGCAGTTCTGGGCCTCAACATGAAGATCCTCCTCTCAAAGGGTCGGCTGTTCCCAACTCTGACAGCAGAGAGCACAGCTCCAGCACCTTCTGCCCTCTCTACAGGGCCTGAGGTGGTTATTCTTAAGAGCCAGTGTCCACATGACTGTCAGCTAACAGGATCTGTATGTGGCTTTCAAAATGTCATGTTATCTTCAAAATATATTAACGATTGTAAAGTTTGGCCAGGATTTTATAGACTTAGAGGAAATTCTGAATTTTCTACCTAGATGAAAAACAAACAAACAAACTTCATTGATACAAAGCATAATCAAGTGGGTAGCAAATCAGGAAATTATTTTCCTCAATACTTCTGCTACCCTCTATGTCTGCTCTCAAAAGAGTCGGCAAAGCACACCCTGAGGGGCAAGAACAGCCACCATCTGGTTCTGAAAATAAAGTTTTATTGGAACACAGTCATTGATTGATGTATGATCTTTGCCTGTCTTTGTGCTACAATGGCAAAGGTGAGTAGTTACAACAAAGACAGCACACAAAGCCTACGATATTTTCTATCTGGACCTTTGGAAAAAAGAAAAGTTTACTGACTCCTGCCTTAAAGAGACAGATGTCCACAGGGCACAGTGATGGAAGTACAATGCAGGCCAGTCAGGGGAGAAAAGCAGGGCTGTGAGGGGATAAGAGGGGAGCACAGAGGGGATGCTGAGAGGAAGGGGTGGGGAAGGCAGGTGTGTAGAGCACAACGTGGGCTGACACACAGAGAGGTGATGGCCAGCCAGGCCACCTGAGACAGAGATCAGACCTCAGAAGGGAGCACATCCCATCCTTAGAAATCATCTCCAGAAACTTACAGACCTGAGTGCAAATCCTGGTGTGCATCAAACAGCTCCTGAAATTTCTGTTCAGCTTTGTATGCCCAGATAGTCCAGAGTCCCCGGAGAGAAGATGCTAAGTGGGAAAACACCAGGCTCCGAGCTTGGGGAGAAGCAGACACAGGACAGAGAAAGTCAGGGAGGCTGGATGTGAGGAAACCAACTGCCTCATGGGCTTTGTGGTCACACGTCCCACCAAAGGGAATCCTCCATGTGACCCTAAACTCCTGCTCACACCAAGCTTCACTTTAATGACCTGGGAGTGAAAGATTCTCTTTGAAACTACCTTTGATCAAATTCAAAATCGCAGCTAGATTTAGATAAAGAAATTCTTTACTAGTTCTTTCATCAAGGTCCTCTCAAACATCCCTCCCTCTATATTCTTCTGGCATCTTTCCAGGTGGAAATTACTCACAATTTTTTAAAAGTATATTGAAGTATAGTTGGTTTACAATAATCTGCTAGTTTCAGGTGTGTAGTATAGCCATTCAGTTCTTTTCTCTGATTATATTCCATTATAGGTTATTACAAGATACTGAATAAAATTCTCTGTGCTTTACACTTAATCCGTGTTATCTGTTTGACGTATTAATAGTAGTGTGTCTATTAATCCCATATTTCTAATTTGCTCCTCACATCCTCCCAATGCCCTTTGGTAACCACGAGTTTGTTTTCTATGCCTCTGAGTCTACTTCTAGTTTGTGTATAGATTTATTTGTATTATTTTTATACTCCATGTGTAAGTGATATCACATGTGTCTTTCTCTGACTTTCTTTACTAAGAATAATATTCTCTAGATCCATCCATGTTGCTGCAAATGGCAATATTTCATTTTTTCCCTATAGGTGAGTAATTATCATTCACTAATTTTTTAACAAGTAGCATTTTAAAATTTAATTGTTCATTAGAGATACATGCACCCCAATGTTCATCGCAGCACTGTTTATAATAGCCAGGACATGGAAGCAACCTAGAGGCCCATCAGCAGACGAATGGATGAGGAAGCTGTGGTACATATCCACCATGGAATATTACTCAGCCATTAAAAAGAATTCATTTGAATCAGTTCTAATGAGATGGATGAAACTGGAGCCCATTATACAGAGTGAAGTAAGCCAGAAAGATAAAGACCATTACAGTATACTAACACATATATATGGAATTTAGAAAGATGGTAACGATAACCCTATATGCAAAACAGAAAAAGAGACTCAGATGTATAGAACAGACTTGTGGACTCTGGGAGAAGGCGAGGGTGGGATGTTTCAAGAGAACAGCATCGAAACATGTATATTATCTAGGGTGAAACAGATCACCAGCCCAGGTTGGGTGCATGAGACAAGTGCTCGGGCCTGGTGCAGTGGGAAGACCCAGAGGGATCGGGTGGAGAGGGAGGTGGGAGGGGGGACCGGGATGGGGAATACATGTAAATCCATGACTAATTCATTTCAATGTATGACAAAAACCACTGCAATGATGTAAAGTAATTAGCCTCCAACTAATAAAAATAAATGGAAAAAAAATAAATAAATAAAATTTAATTCCTCATTAGAGTCCTCACCACACTGAATTTTGATGAGCTACCTGTGCATTGTTTCCACCTTAGATGAGTAACCAAGGGCTGAGTTAGAGTCAGTACATCCCCACACTGGGCCAGAGCCAGACACACGACAGGGGTGAGATGAGGAAGAGGAGCAAACAGTCTGCCATCTCCCCCATCCTGGGACCCTCCCCACACCTGCACCAGGAGTCTCTGTGTGGGTCACGGAGCACCTGATACTGCACCACCCTTGTGCCCACAGGAACCAGCAGATGAGGAGCCTTTGAACAGTCTTGACTTCTGCTCCGGGAACCTGACAGATGTTTTTATATCTGCCTGCTGGACACCTGTTCTGTTGTTTGGAGGGCACTGTGGCACATGACACTCACATCACCCTTTTAGAATCTGACAGTGGCCTCAGTGTCCATCTTTTGAGTGACTTCATGTGGTTGGGGGCCTGACGTCACATGACTGCCCCTGCCATTCTTTTCCTGCCATCTTCTCTAAGAGCACACTGACCACGAGCACCAGGGTCAGGCTCTTGCCTGTCAGGGAACAGGTGGGCTGCAGGCTGCCAGGCAGGGAGGACGCTTACATTTCTCATTTCCCACCGTGAATGAGAATGTAACTTGCTGTTGCCAGGGGCACATAGTGAACCTCTGACCTCTGTCTGAGATGAATGATAACTTGTGATGTATCAGCAGGAAATACTGACATCACTTTGTTACCTCTGTGTGTCCTAGAGAAGATCTGTTAATACAACTAGGTTGTTTATGGGAAGTTAGTAATGCATCTTACATGAGACTACAGGGATTTTATAAAATGATGGTGGAAAGAATCCAAGGGGAAACTCCAAACTGTTTTCAGGTCCTCACTCCTTAGTCCAGTATCTGAATGCCTGTCCGGTGACAGTTCAGTCAGTACAGACGTGCACCTGGGCACTGCATGTTCGAAGGGGTTGAGGTACAAACAAGTAAAGACACAGAACCTCCTCTTGTGTGTAGTGTCCCCAGTTCTATAAAGAAGGAAGGAGCAGGGGCAGTCCAAAGATGGCAGAGGAATAGGATGGGGAGACCACTTTCTTCCCCACAAATTCATCAAAAGATCATTTGAATGCTGTACAAATTCCACGAAACAATTTCTGAATGCTGGCAGAGGACACCAGACACCCAGAAAGGCAGTCCATTCTCTTTGAAAGGAGGTCCCTCTTCTCTTCTCTGCCTAACTCTGTGGATCTCTTTGGGTGTTCCAGGCTGTAGAGAACACTTAGGGAACTGATTACTGGTTAGATTAGTGTCTCTCCTTTTGACTTCCCCTCTTCTCCTCCTGGTCACCTCTATCTCCCTCCTCCCTCTTCTCTTCTCCATGTAACTCTGTGAACCTCTCTGGGTGTCCCTCACCATGGAGGATCTTTTCACCACTAACCTAGATGTTTTATCATTGGTGCTGTATGGATGGAAAAGTCTTGACGCTACTGTGAGAATAAAATTGAAAGCCAGAGGCATGAGGCTTAAATCGAAAACTTGAGAATACCAGAAAACTCCTGACTCCAGAGAACATTAATCAACAGAGCTCATCAAAAAGCATCCATACCTACACTGAAACCAAGCTCCACCCAAGAGCCAACAAGTTTCAGAGCAAGACATACCAAGCATATTCTCCAACAATGTAGGAACATAACCCTGAACATTAAAATACAGGTGGCCAAAAGTCACACCAAACCCACAGATACCTGAAAATTCACTACTGGACACTTCATTGCACTCCAGGGAGAAGAGATCCAGCTATGCCCACCAGAACACCGACGCAAGCTTCCCTAACCAGGAAACCTTGACAAGCCACTTGTCCAACCCCACCCACAGGGAGGAATCTACACAATAAAGAGGAACCACAAATTTCCAGCATACAGAAAGGCCACCCCAAACACAGCAATCTAAACAAAATGAAAAGGCAGAGAAACATTTAGCAGATAAAGGAAAATGATAAATGCCCACCAAACCAAACAAAAGAGGAGGAGATAGGGAGTCTACCTAAAAATGAATTCAGAATAATGATCTGAATGATCAGTAAAAATGATCCAAAATCTTGGAAAAAAAATGGAGTTGCAGATAAATAGTCTGGAGACAAGGATTGAGAAGATGCAAGAAAATTTGAACAAGAACATAGAAGAAATAAAAAAGAGTCAAATAAAAATGAATAATGCAATAACTGAAACAAAAGCACTCTGGAGGGAACCAACAGTAGAATAACTGAGGCAGAAGATAGGATAAGTGAGGTAGAAGATAGAATGGTAGAAATAAATGAAGCAGAGAGGAAAAAAGAATCAAAAGAAATGAGGACAAATTCAGAGACCTCTGGGACAATGTTAAACGCTCCAACATTTGAATCATGGGAGTCCCAGAAGAAGAAGACAAAAAGAAAGGCCATGATAAAATACTTGAGGAGATAATAGTTGAAAACTTCCCTAAAATGGAGAAGGAAATAGCTACCAAAGTCCAAGAAACCCAGAGAGTCTCAAACAGGATAAACCCAAGATGAAACACCCCAAGACACATATTAATCAAGTTAACAAACATCAAATACAAAGAAAAAATATTAAAAACAGTAAGGGGAAAGCAACACATAACACTCAAGGGGATTCCTGTAAGGATAACAGCAGATCTTTCAATAGAAACTCTTCAGGCCAGAAGGCAATGGCAGGACATACTTAAAGTAATGAAAGAGAAAAATCTACAACCAAGATTACTATACCCAGAAAGGATCTCACTCAAATATGAAGGAGAAATCAAAAGCTTTACAGACATGCAAAAGCTGAGAAAATTCAGCACCACCAAACCAGCTATTCAGTAAATGCTAAAGGATCTTTTCTAGACAGAAAACACAGAAAAGGTTTATAAACTCAAACCCCAAACAACAAAGTAAATGGCAATGGAATCATATGTATTAGTAATTACCTTAGTAGAAGGATAAGACCCCCTCTGGGCAGGGGAATCTTGAAGATCACATTCAGGTTACTCATTGCCTAAGAGAAAACAGACACTGATCACCCCTGCCTCTGGACAGTATCTATCGGAATGTAACCACAGGTTACATTATTGATTATTAACTGGTTGGAATATAACCATGGGCTTATTGATTATGAACTGTTTGAACACATAACACGTGAATGATGGGGTCATTGTGATTGTATTTACCCTTCCTTTGTAAGCCTCAAGGGATTTGGGCTGGTGGGTTTAGACACGTACACATGGGGTATAAAAGATTTTCACAAATGCTGGTCAGGGTCCTTGGCTAAGAGGAGACTCTGCCTTGGGCCCGCCAGTGTAATAAACTGCACTCCACTATCAAAATAATAATAATAGTAACATTAAATGTAAATGGGTTGAATGTCCCAACCAAAACACAAAGTCTGGCTAAATGGATACAAAAACAAGACCCCTATATATGTTGTCTACAAGAGACCCACCTCAAAACAAGGGCCACATACTGACTGAAAGTGAAGGGCTGGAAAAAGATATTTCATGCAAATGGAGACCAAAAGAAAGCAGGAGTAGGAATACTC